TATATGGCTACCATATTGGACAGCACAGATACAGAACATTTCCATCATCTGAGAAAGTTCTATCAGTCAGCATTGGATTAGAGGCTTATTTTTGTTTTTTTTAAAGAACAGGAGATCTGTGCAATCTTAAGGGAAGTACACTGCATACATGCTGCTGCCACTATTCCCCTATAAAAGGGGCCTAGGTCAGGTATCTTTGATGATCTAAAATCGGCTACTGCCACTGTAATGTCAAAGTACAGGGAAAATGTAAACAAAGGACTGGGAAAAAAATGAATTGCAAGGAGAGAAAGAAATAACGTGCAGCTTGAAGATGAACTTGGATTCAGGGGTCTGGGTTCTACTCCCTATTATGCCAATAATTCATTTTTAAAAAATTAAATTTTTTAATTGGTACAACTATTGGGCCTCTGTTTCCTCTTCTACAATATAAATTTAAACCAGACGACCACTAAGATTTCTTCTAGTTCTATATAGTTAAAACACACGTACAAAAGAAATGAGAAGGTAAGGAATAAATATAAAAATAAGAGAGAGAAATCATTGCATATTGGTGGTGCAAACTGGCACTCTTGTCAGCTTGCCACACGGTTCTATTCTGAGAATAAGATTTGGATACCACCCAAAGAAGAAAGATTTAATTCTACTCAATAAATACTTATTGAGCAATTATTTGCAACCAACTACACTATTTGTTTGTAGCACCACAAAATTCACGTTGTAAGGAATACGTGTTTTTAAAAAAAAAAAGGAAATAGCACCACACAAAACTAATTAGCCCTAAGTTAAGCCCAAACATTTGGGAAGAATGCCAGACCCCCAAAACTTTAGGTTAAAAGACTGGTGTATCAGCATGTAATAACTGGCCCAGTACTAAGACACAGAAATATCTTAAAACCTTGAGAAGAAACAACAAATTGCATAAAATAATATACAAAGTACAAACATATGGCATAGTCAAAAGCATATCTAGTTTGTTCCACGAATAATACAAATAAATGCTACAGGTACCTGGAAATAAGAAAACACCAATTTTGGCCGACTATTTCTTTAGAACCCACACAATCAGATAGTCCTACATTTTCTAGGTTGAATATTCTTGAGGATTATTAGAATTAAATAGATTCACAAATAGTGCTAGACAGAATAAAATGCAACTAGAATTCCTGCCTTTACTATCTACTACTGTACACGTCCCACTTTTCAGAGTCACTGTTGGTCCTATTTCCTAGGATCAAAAGGGACAGAAAACATTCTCCATCCCTACTCTAAGAATTAATATACCTACTATGAAAATGTAGAAATGATTTTGACTCTAGACAAAAAGAACCAAGATAAACTGCATTTGATATTTTACCTTCAAGAAGCTAAGTCAATCGGTGAGTCATGTAACCTCTATATGAATTCCCTCATTAAATTCCTGAACCATACCCGTGAATATTTTGGAACAGAAGAGAGTAAATACTAAAGCTTTCCAGGAGGGAAAACAAGAAGAAGGAATTTTAGACAAGCCTTTACTTCAGAAAGGCAGTTTTTAATACCCCACCTACTAATCTAACGCTCAGAACTGCGCGGCGCGGAAAGCCTCCCGAATTTGAAAACAAACCTAGCAAGGCTCTGGGAGACTGGTAAGGGGGTTAGTAACTGACAGCTCGGCAAGGAGCGAGAAGCCTCAAGTAGGTCAAACAGTGTCAATGGTCTGAAAACCAGAGTCCACCCCAGTGGGCTTAGCAGGAGATAAGCAAGGGTTTGGCGTCTTTCAGTGCTTGAAGTGTGGGATGTTGGAACTGGGAAAGACCTAGAGCCCAAGCCAGCGCAGTTCGCCTGCTCTCACCTCTCTTGGGGGCTTTAATCAGAGGCACTCCTCCAGCCCTCTCGCCGTTTTCCTGCTTGTCCTTGTGCTTGAGATCGCCCGGTACGCAGGAGCTGGGGTCACCATCAGAGCCGCGGTGATGATGGTGCTTGTGCCGCTCCTTGTGGCCCTTATGCTTGGGCCCGGCCGCGCTCACCGTCAGGGGCGAGAAGGTGAAGAGGGCCGAGGTGCCTGGGGCCGGGAGCGGGGCAGCGACAGCCGGCCCGGCGGGTGCCAGCGAAGGTGGCGGAGGAGGCGGCAGGAGAAGAGGCTCAACAGGGCCTGGGACCGTTGGGGCTGCATTGGTTGGCTGCAGCGGCCCGGGATGTTGGCGGCTGCGACGCCGCCGGTGAGGGGGAGCGAGAGGGGGGTCCTGGCTCGGCCGCCCCCGCTTCTCCTGAGACCCCCCACTGCTAGCTCGGCGCTGCCGCTTCACTCCCCGCGGCGAGACCCCAGCATGGGGTTTCTCCTTCCCCTCTTTGTCCGGCTCCTCCTGCGCCGCCACCGCCCGTACTACGCGAACCGCTCCGACCTGCGCAGCCATTTCACCCACAAACACACATTTAAATGGCCCGACCGCCCCCCCGTCCGCGCAGCGCGCAAGCGCCACCCGCGCACGGCCCTCTGGGCACTGGAGTCTCTCCCGCGCCCTCCACTTGTCGGCCGTGCTTCGTCCAGAGCCCAACATGCCGGAAGCGGCCGTTCCCAGAGCGGCTCCGCAGGCCGCTCCAACCGAGCTTCTATTGTAAAGCACCCCGGCCGCGCAGAGCCTTATGGGAGTGGTGGTTCCGCCGCGCCCCGCGCCGCCTCCCCGGCTCTCTGAGTGGAAGAGCGGAAAGGGAGCGTGCGCCGAGTCACGCTCCGAGAGGCGACGCAACCGTCGCTGGGCGGCGACTAGCCGCCAACCGCCTTAACCGCCGAAACAATGTTTCTGGCTCTCCGAGTCTGGCGGCGTGTTCCCTTTATCATCCTGTGCCCCTGCGTCATTTTACACAGAGTAGGTGGTCTCCATAGTGACTGTGAAATTGCATATTCCTCTCGTAACCTTTATGAGGTAAAAGAATCTCCAGCCCTTCACCTTTGACTAGCGACGAAATAGAGGGGCAAAGGCGACTTAGCGATCTGTAACGTGAGGGCGGTCTTGCTGTAACGTAGACTAGGGCCGCAAGTCAGAAGCTGTTTGCGGCACTGCGAGGGGCGTTGCCATGGTTACAGCTGCGCGGAATTAGGCTGGTGCCGGCGCCGCCCGGAGCGGGTGAGCGCGGCGCCGCCTCCGTCACGCCGCAGCCTGACTAATGCCCTAAGGTCGAGTCTAGCGTTTATTTCGAATATATCCGTACATGGAAAGCCATGTTTAAGATTTTTTAGTGAGTTTTTTTCAAATCGTAAGTGTTAAATTGCCTGTCTGAAAAGTGCATCTAACCAGAGAACACTCCACAAATCATCCGTGTTCACTAAGGGATGGTTGCCCCTCAGTTCATGTACAATTTTATCCTCACTTCCTCGCTTTAGCTTTTTTAACCTAGGATTTTTTATCTTTCTTTTTTAAGAGACAGATTCTCCCTGTGTTGCCAGCCGGGGCTGAATGAGGGGCCTCAGGCTCCGGAGTGGATGGGACTACAGGTGCGCGCCACGCGCACGGCTTTACCTGGGATTCATTGAATAGATTTGGTCTTTGATAGACGCTTGGAAATAGTTGATTCGGTGATACACTCAGCAGATGACGTTACTGTGGTTTTCACGCAGGACACCAGGGTAAAAAAAAATCAAAAGGAAAAAATTACTGTAATTTGATATCACTGTTTCCTGGAGAAATATTACCTAAATGAATACTGTCTGCAGTGAAATTAGTTTAAAAACTAAAAAGTTTATTGATCATCTATTAGGGACTATTGTACTACAATAGACAGGTAACAATAGTTCAATTTGTCCTATCAGGCTTCAGAATGAAAAGCATTGCAGAGCAAAAGTGATGTTTAAATAATAAAACATGTATCTAAAAGTTAGAAATAAAGTCTTTTATTTTTTGAGACAGTCTCACACTGTCCCCCTGGGTAGCGTGCTGTAGCGTCACAGTTCACAGCAACCTCAAACTCTTGGGCTTAAGCGATTCTTTTGCCTCAGCCTCGAGTAGCTGAGACTACAGGCATCCACCACAAAGCCCGGCTATTTTTGGTTGCAGGTGTCATTGTTTAGCAGGCCTGGAACAGGTTGAACCCCCACCCTCGGTGCAGCTGTAACCATTGTGCTACGGGCGCCAAGCCAGAAATAAAGTCTTTTAAAATAAGATGATGTTAACTCCTAGAAGTTAGGTGGATCCCTCATAATAATAATTATCCACTAATTCATTTACTACACAAAATTAGATTTAAAACAAATTTTTATAAAGGCAGGCATGTTCACAGAAAAATTTATTTTAAACTAGAATCTCTCTCTTTGGTTGAATATAAACTTTTAAGTGAAGACAATGCTATCAAAAGATAGCTGATGGTTGATGATTTTCTGGAATTGATAATTGAATACTGTAGGTTGAAACTTACCAGCAACAAGTTGAACATCTTGTTAGTTGGCATATCCAGAATTAAAAGTGGCTAACTCTGTTATTTGCACATTTTATTCTGTTAAATATAATTTCTCCATTTCTTGCTGCTCTAGTTTCCCCCAACATTTGGGACGATGTGTATTTAGTCACAAATAACTACCAGAGAATAGTCATTGTCACAAGCAGGAATTTTACTGCAACCACAAGGAAAGACTAAGAACTTTTTTTTTTTTTTCAGACAGAGTCTTACTATGTCGCCCTTGGTAGAGTACTATGGCATCACAGCTCACAGCAACCTCAAACTCCTGGGCTTAAGCGATTCTCTTGCCTCAGCCTCCCAGTAGCTGGGACTACAGTGCCTGCCACAACTCCAGCTATTTTTGTTGTTGTTGCAGTTGTCGTCGTTTAGCTTTCCCCAGCCAGGTTCGAACCCTCCCCCCTCCATTTATGTGGTTAACACCATAAACACTGTGCTATGGGCACTGGCCAAGACGTAAAACTTTTAACAGTAAATTCTAAATATACTCAAAATAGTAAAAATTTAATTGAGATCCAAATCATATCAACCTTTGAAAGTTTAAAAAATATATTGTATTTCCCATACAGTTTTATTTGTAGTTTCCAGCCCAATGTAAATGATAAGAAAATGCAAAACAGATGGCATTTATTTGCATATTGATTTTCTTTTAAAAGTACTTTTAAAAAGCTATCTTCATTTTTAATATTATGAATCTAGAATACTTAACTAGTAGTATTCTAGTAGTTTTATTTGCAGATGCACTGGCAGCCTATATTCTTACAAATCCGGAGTTACATTAAATATTCCAAGTTGGTGGAGGGTTTCTTGGTCCTTTGGGTTTTGAAAAACGATTGGCAAAACCTGGGAACAAAAATAAATTTGAATGAAAAGAGAGGATGTTTTTAATACAGAAATGAATACTGGGATTTTAGAGTGTATTTTAATATATGCAAATGCATGGTTTTTTAAAATCCAATCAGCATCTCTGACCAATTTAGTAATAGATTATAAAGGCATTATAATAATTTAAAACTCAAATGATAATAATAACATTTTAAGTTTGTAGAGCACTTAAAAATTTAATGATGGTAATAATCAGATGAAAAACCCTGGTTATGATAGCCTTTGATAATTCAATATATAATGTCATTTTTTTTTTTTTCAACTACCACTCATCCATCAAAAAGCAAAACTGGCAAATTTCAATTTCACAAAAATAAGGACAGTTAGGTAGGGGGCTGGGGGTACACCTCCCTCTTGGGGGTAGGTTAAGAGGGACTTTAACAAATGCAATCAGTGTAACCTAATTCTTTGTACCCTCAATGAATCCCAAACAATAATAGTAATAAATAAGGACTATTACTTGGAAAACTATTATATTAAATTTAGTTATACCTCTACATCAGCCCCAAAAGCCATAAATTTACTAAGAGCTTCCATTTGAAAAGCAATAAGCAATCCTGAAAAGCTAAATAGTTAAATAATCATTTTTATTTCTCTTTTTTCCTCAAACTTAGGCTTCCATGCCCACCCCAAAGAAGGAAGATGAGGAAATTTTCCACAACTAATAAAGTCTATTTCTGGATACTTTTAAAATATTTTCAGATTGATGACATTTTTCTTTAATCATTTCAGCAACAAACTTTGGTGGCAGAACGCTTTCACAGTTTTCTTACATTTAACAACTTTAGAGACTTAAGAAATGAAAGGTTCAAAACACAGAAGAAAAACAGTGGGAAACTCAAAGATATTCCTAAGCCTTTAACTTAATTCATCTTACCAAATACATTATCTACCTTAAAGAAATGAGGAAAGGATCAAATGAGACATTTGTTATAAAAGTATCCAATACTGTGCCTGACACATAGTAACTACTCAAATGTTGCTTAAATCTGAACCTAAAAAACTATACCAGAAGGAAAGGGAAGAAGAATATGTGAGGGGAAAAGAAGATTTTTTTAAACCACTAAAATTAAATGTGTTAATGATGATGATAAGAAAAACTGAGGGAGGGGGCTTACAGCCTAGTTCATGTATGTTTTACTCTTCTTTTTTGTTGTTGTTGAGACGGAGTCTCCCTATGTCACCCTCAGTAGAGTGCCAAACCTCAAACTCTTCAGCTTAAGAGATTCTCTTGCCTCAGCCTCCCATGTAGCTGGGACTACAGGTGCCCACCACAACACCTGGCTTATTTTTTGTTGCAGCTGTCGTTGTTTTTAGCTGGCCCGGGCTGGGTTTGAACCCACCACTATCAGTGTATGTGGCTGGCACTGTAACCACTGTGCTATAGGCACAGAGCCTACATTTCACTCTTCTGAGTGGTGAGAAAGAAGATAGAAGAAGAATACTTCCAGGTTAAATGGTTTCACACAATAGCCAAAATCATCCCATCAGTACAGATAGCTTGATTACAACCCAAGCAGACTAGGAATAGACGGAAGGACATATGTAAGTACTAAGTATGTAAAATTTTAGGAATACCTATATTGTCTCTTTTATTAGTCAATTCTCAGTAGCTAAGAACTGTGAGCTGCCTATTTTTATGTGCGGTCCAATTTGGAGAAAATGAACCTGAACCATAACATTTTTTCATTCAAATTCAAATACTTTTATAAATGATATGACCTTATAATTTATATTGCTTTCTTTATAAAAAGGATCCAGTAGAAAAAATGTATTGATTATTTTAAGTGGATAAAATGTCCAAATTTAGGTATATGTGAGAGGAAGCAACATGGAAGCAGCTCTCTAATATTTTATCCTCATATTAGATCATAGACAGTTGTAAAGATGAATAGGCCTTGAATTACTCAAATGGTATCACAGAAAAAAAGGAGGCAGGGAACATTTGTGTTTCAAGAAAACTATGAAAATAGTTTATATGTTTTGTATAATGAAATTTTTATGGATGTTTTTAGCTAAATAATTTCATACAACTTATAACTTCTTTTTTTTTTGTGAGATAGAGTCTCAAGCTATCACCCTGGGTAGGGTGCTGTGGCATTACTACTCACAGCAACCTCAAACTCTTGGGCTTAAGCAATTCTCTTGTCTCAGCCTCCCAAGTAGCTGGGACTACAGGTGCCCGCCACAAGGCCCAGCTATTTTTTTTTTCGTTGCATTTGTCATTGTTGCGTAGCAGACCTGGGCTGGGTTCTAATCCACCACCCTAGGTGTATGTTACCAGCGCTCTTGCCACCCATAACTTCTTTTTATTAATTATAACACTGTGAAATGTTACAGTTAATTAAAGCCAAACATAATTTTACAGCTAAAGAAACAACTCCAGATATTCTAGTTAAACATTTTGTGAAGGTGACATGGGGACCATAACCCAGGTGGGGCAGAGGTTGGCACCTGCCCACCAAAATCTTTCTTCCTCAAACAGAAATGATCTAGTCAATTGTATCTATCTGCCTAGCGATATTACACTTCCCAGTTTCTCTTGCAGTTTAATTATAGCACATGTCTTAAGTTCTCTTAAAGGGAATGTGAGCTGACGGCATTGTTGCCAGGCCAGGACCTTAACACCAGAAGAGCAGGTGGTGGCGGCCACATCTCCTCCATGTCTCTCTGTTTTCTTGCCACCTGCAATCTGAATGTAGCAGCAACTAATTTTGATAATACAAACAGGCACAATACCTGTAAGCAGCAGTTCTCAAAGTGTGATCCAGAAATTAACTCCTGGGGGGCCCTCAGAACCTTTCAGAGGGTATGCTCTTTGATTTCTCCTACTACTAATTGCTATATCTCTTACAAAAAATTGGATTATATGGGATACTTTCTAAAATAGTATCTTAGGCTTGGCACCCATAGCACAGTGGTTATGGCACCAGCCACATCCACCAAGGGTAGCAGGTTCGAACCCTCCCTAGGCCAGCTAAACCACAACGACACTGCAAATAGCCAGGTGTTGTGATGGGCACCTGTAGTCCCAGCTACATGGGA